GTCACAGCTGATTCAACATAGTGATGAGCGCAGAATCCAAACTGAAGCGGGTCTAGCCGAGAGTTGGACTTGAGTAAGTCTGTCAATCTTGCATAAACAACTCTTTCAAGGATCTAGGACACAAAAGGCAATAGTGAGATAGGACGGTAGTTGGACGGGGAGTTAGGGTCAAGGTTGAGCTTCTTTAGAATTGGGATCACAGTTGCATGTTTGAAGGGCAATGGAAATATGCCAGAGGAGAGAGATTGAGAATTTTAGTGAGAGGTAGAGAAGAAGATATACTACAGATGAAATTGGATCTAGGGAGCAGGTTGTGGGGCGGGAGGACTGGAGTAGAGCAGAAAGCTCTTCTGCTGTAGCGGGTGCGAATGAACATAGAACAGCAGAGGGAGTGAGGTTAGGGGAAGTATTGTAATGGGAAGAAGAAAGATGAGAGATCTCTTCCCTGATTGTAGAGAATATAAACTAATGACATACACAGATAGCAGTACTCGGTTTAAGGGACACTCTAAGCACCAAAGCCACTACATTTCAATGTAGTCGTTTTAGTGCATTGTTGCTCTCCCTTTACTTGCACAATGTAAAATGGCGCAATTGCTGAGAATTGCCAATGTTTAAATTTGTCTGGGGACAGGCCTATAGTTTCACTAGAAACTCCTTCTCCTTAAGACCTTTGATTTTCAAAGGCTTTCCCCTAAGTTTCTTTATTATTATTATTTTATTATTTATATAGCGCCATCACATTCCGTAGCGCTGTACATTGGGTGGACTAACAGACATGTAATTTTAACCAGACAATTGGACGTACAGGAACAGAGAGGTGGAGGGCCCTGCTCAATGAGCTTACATGCACATCATGATGACACTGAACACAGCAAGCATTGAAATAGACAAATATCATTAGAGGAAACTGCCTCTTTGCTGGATTACAGGTAAATGTATAGAGCTATGTTTTACCTTTTGCTTAGGAGCTATTGCTGAATATAAATACATTGCACACCATATCTCATTATTAAGCATATGTATTTGTAGAAAGGGACATCGTATGCCCAAAGATCTGCACCAGCCGATTTGAAGAGTGATAATATCAGTAGTAGCATTCTTTTATGTTGCATCTTGCAAATAGGTTTTAGCTGATATACAACTATACTATACCTTGATAAAGGCCCCTGTGTAGGCCAAAACATTGCACATTTTGTTCCAATAAACCTGCCTTCCTGCAGCCATTCTGAGTGCCTGGACCTAATTTATTTTATATACAACTATTCTGAAACATAAAGTAAGACTAGTTGATTGCTGCTTTTAATATTATGATACATATTTTTTATGTTTTTTTAATTTTGTCCACCATAATAGCTAATAGGAAAACGGTGGCTGTTCTGCTAATATTTACAGTATATAACAAACAGCAGGGTGACAGAATCAAACATATAGGTATGATGTTAGTTCTAAGTAATTTTTAACCTTGATTGAGGTTTATATTGATTCAATCAACATGGAAGACAACATGCATCATATACTGTAACTAAGTATGCAAATATGGCAACTGTTAGATTTGTGCATGGTGGAAACAATTTGTTCATATGATGTTTCGACTTGGACGACTTTCATCCGTGCGATTGTTTAGGGGAAAACGGTTCGGAGGAACCAAGGAGGGCACGAAAATTAACTAATCAGTGCATTGTAAAATATATAAATCATATGATATAATGATAGGCGCACGATGATATTTATCCCACGATAAATATAGAATTGTATTACTTTCTTACAGTCTATTTTTTAGTTCTCACTTGATATGTGAATAAATTCAGCATTAAATGGCTGTCCCTTAACCTATCATCTTTTTTTTGGTGTTATGGGTGGATCTCCAAATCACAAAGCAACCAAAACTTTTATCTGTGTCATTTTTGTCTTTTTTTATTTTATTTTTTTTGTAGGATGCATACAACGCTTTTCAACATTTTTACAAATTGTAATTTGTTACTGAATGTACTAGTCTTGTAAATATATAGGATATAGTTTACATTGACACTTTTTATAGCCAATTTTATCTCTCTCTCTCTCTCTCTCTATATATATATATTTTTAAAGGTGGTATGTTCCCTGCATAACAATATATGAGTTATAACTCAAAACAGTGATAACTTCACTACATTTATCTCTGATGTTCTCAAATGTAGTGAATATACACCAGAAGGTGACACAGGAGTCCCATATTCAGTACTAACCAACTATACAGTGGGCACTTCAGTAACAAGGAAAGTGATATGTTTCTTTGGCCTGAAAAAATATAAGCTGCACAAACAGCAAACATTTCTGACGTAGCACAAGGACATGTTTTGTTCACCTTTTATTTAACTAAACAATTATTTTCATAAATGCACCAAAATCATGTGGCTAGAGGAATCTGACCTGAATCATATGACCTAGTTAGCCCTGTTATATCGCTGCTCCTCACTGTGCAATCAGAACATTAGTACTGTTTTTCTTAGGTGACAATAATACAACAAATTGTCAGAAACATGAAGCTTGTTAATAACATCAGAATGAATGCATCAAGGTATCATTTTCTACTTGAACTATATCAGGAGGAATACCAGAGATAAGCTTTTTGATTAAAGTAAATACTTCTGTTGCATCAAAACAGATTTTAATCTATGCCCCTGAATTAATTACAATCCAAAAGGATAGACAGTTCATTATTTTGTAAGCAACTACTATGATTAGTTAATAGGAGAAACTTTGTAGCATACTTATTTTATTGGGGGGGGGGGGGGTGGCTCATATGACAATCCTTTTGTTTCAAGTGACACTGCCAGGGGGACTATACAGTCATGCAGGGCATCACCGACTCAAGACTCAAACCTTAACATGCAACACTAAAATCCGACATCTCCCAAATTGATCAACACAGAGGTTAACAGACCTTTGGCTTCAGACCTACTCCTGCAATAAGACCATTTTTTTTTCCTTTTAATAAGATGTGTTCTGTCATATTATTATAATCATCTATGACATCAGAGCCATAATTAATTTTGGCCACCTAATCTTGTTGAACTCCTGTCCACTCTCTTACAGTATGACTTGCATATTTGCAGGGTCTACTCAATTCTACAGAGTAATCAAGATGTGGAAGCTGTATCCCCTGTGGCTAGAGATATTTAAGTCATAAGATACAGTGGGCTTATAATATGTATAGAAGAGTATATCAGTAACTTTAAAGAACACTATATCATTTGGAATGAAAACATGTATTCGTAATGCTACAGTGGTCCCCTATCTATTTAGATGTTCCCCCACTGTAAGTCTGTAAAAGTTAGCTTTACTTACTTGTACTCTCTCGTCATGTGGACTCAACATGGCCTCTTTGTCTCCCTGGCTGGGATTATCAAGATTGATTAACTCAACCAATCCAATGCATCCACATAAATTAACACTGGGAGGGGGGCGGAGCTAGCGGAGGAGCAGAGCGGACGCGTTCTCCAGGAGCTCCGTGCCAGATACCGCAAAAGCTGCTTTTCGAGGCCACTTAGCGAAGTTACCTGGGCACACCAACCCTCACCCGACACGGGAAACAAAGATGGGTCTGAAGCACAAAAAAACTAGAGCTGACAAGGACCCTACCACCCACGATATCGGGGAACTTCTCCGACGCTCGCAAAAGACCGCATGGGACAAAATGGCGGCAGGTGAGGAAGCTTACTCCTATTCCTCAGATGACTACTCCATAGACCCCGGGGAAGGTGCAGCATATGTCCCACCACCCACCTCAAAGCCTCAGCGCACCCCTACAGAAGAGCCAGTTACTGCCTCTGTACTTAAAAGCATGCTGGCAGAACTCAGAACAAATATAGCGGCCGACATGGCCTGCATTAAAGTGGCAATAGAGGGGGTCACCACCAGGGTCACACAGCTAGAAACCACATCGAACACCCAGGAATCCAGGATAAAGACCCTGGAACAAACACTAACAGAGATGAAACAGCAGCAACAGGTGGCCAACGACCGAATAAATACGCTAGAAGACCAGCGACGACGTTACAATGTAAAGATCCGTGGTATTCCGGACTCTATAAACCCCACAGACCTAGCACACTTTATCAGACGCCTGCTGGCGGACCTATTGCCACCAAAACAGGCAAAAGCAGTCCGACTAGATGGCATGTTCCGCCTACCAAAGCCTGCAACGGCGCCGACCACGGCACACACCGACCTAATACTCCGCTTTCAGACCTTACATGACAGAGCCCTACTAATGGAGGCTGCACGTGGAAGAACACCACTATCGTTTGAGGGAGCCACGCTGTCCATATTCCCGGACCTGACCAAAAGCACTATGGAGTGGCGCAAGGCCCTACAACCCCTGCTACAACACCTCAGAAATAAGAATATCCAGTACAAATGGGGGTCTCCGAATACGATTACCTTTACTCATCAGGACACAACGTACCGAGCCAGGAGCTACTCCGAACTGGACACACACCTACGCAATGCAGGACTGTTGCCGCCCGCCCGCATGGAAGGGTCAGACCTCACCCGAGTGGACCCAGCTACCGTGGCTGAATTTATCCCAGGAGCTCCCACTCGTCTAACGCACCAACGAAAGACCCCCTGAGGGACTACCACAAAGGAAATATAGCCACAACCCTCAGAGACTGCTAATACAGCAAACCTCCAAGATGTGACATCCAAATCAAGAAGGTTCCGCTCTACTCCCTTATGGACTCCAACGATGATACCCTCCAAGCTTCACCCCAATCTACTCTTTGGCTTACCCAAGTTGACTGGCTTTCTGTTTTTTTTGTTTTTTTTTTATCTTGTTTTTTTTATCTTGTTTCTTATTAATGTATTACACCACATCTGTGATGACCACATTCGACTTAGCCTCCATACACCGACACATCGGTTAAAACTGATCCTGACGCCATGGCACATAACCACGCATGGCAGAAGTCACCACAGACCGGTCACCCATCAACGCACCCCCCCCAAGCCCAAACCTTATACACATAGACTGACATACTCACACAAGGGGTTGGGGGTAGCCCTCAATAGGGGATGTGCACCAGCCGGAGACAACTCACGTCTGCAATGACAGCTCTCACTCCCATACTGGGGACTCGACAGACAGACCAAATAGGGGGACACAACAGACCTCATACCATACACCCAAAACCTCGCCTTTTAGGTCAATACCCTGAAAAACACACACACACACACACACACACAAAACTACACATGCCTGATCTGCACTCCAAGATAACAGTCACTGGCTCCCTCTAGACCGGACATGCCCGGCCTCATAGCTGACACCACGACAATAAAATTATAAAAATGTGCAATGATTACTAATGCCAACCTACTGTTGAAAACTGTTACTAAACATGCCTTTGGTTGCTGTTGTGGCACTGTGGGCACTTGTGTTAATTCCGCACAATAAAATAAAGAATAAAAAAAAAAAAAAAAAAAAATTAACACTGGGAGACTATAATCCTCATTATTTTTGCTGCTTTTAAAAAAGCTATTCAACTTTGTGTGTTTTGAAGCTGGTGTTTAGCACTGTATTAAGTATGTTGACACTCTTATAATGTATACATGTTTAGGTGAATGCAGGCTTCATGGTTTCATTGTTTTGGAAAAGAGTATCTCCATTTCACCCTATTACATATTTGTAATCTACTGCTGCACACATTCTGAAGGAAGAATAGTGAATAATGCACTTCACTATTACCCAATAAAATTGGATTTTTTTTCTCATACAGAGAGACAATGGGAGAAAGAGGCTGTTGATTACTAGAGGGTCCTGGGGATTCTAACTGGTTTCAAATATCGCACCACTCATATTTGGTAAGAAAAAATTAATTCTCAACAACTGCTCTTTTATGGGGTTCTGGTGCCTCCACTGTGGCAAAGATGCCTCTGCCACACGTTCCTGGAGGAGCCTGCTGGCTGGCCTCCTGCCCAAAGACTAAAGTCCATGAAAAATACCTTTTTAAAAGACTCGGTTCGTGGGGTATCCATGTACTGTTTGTGAACCGAACAAACCCACGAACTGCTGACCACCTCTGTGCTAGTTAACCCTCGATGACCCCTATTGAAATCTTAATAACCATTTCACACCTTAGTGTTCTACATGTTCGGCTGGGTGGCCACCGTTCATATGCACGAACACATGGGAACTGAGTTGGCGGCTATCTTGTTTGCACGAATGCAGGCAGCGGTGTTTGGTCATCGAGTGCATGGAACTAAAACCGGGCACTCTACCTTGCGAACACCGCTGAACTTCCATCATCGCCTGTGTTAGTTTCTTTACAACTTAGAAGAGCACTGTTCGGTGAAATCGTTCACATCGATTAGTTAAACAATCTCTTCATAACAGCTATAGAATACATTCGGTATTTTGCTCGGTTTTAGACTCCCGAAATTGACCGACCACTACCACTTTTCCTATGGAACTATTTTGGGCAGAAGCCATGTGTGCAGTCTGTCAAAAGTTGACTTCCCTGGAAAATCTGAACCACTGAACCGATCTGAGTGAATTTTGGATATGATGGTCACTCAGATCAGGGCTATCCGGGGATGTGACTCTTGAAGGGTTTCCATGGATTTTCGGGGTACTTTTGGGGTGTTTTAAAATTGTAGGCTTTTTTTGTACCTGGAGATAATTGAGTCTGTACAGTTCCTGACTCAATTATCTCTCAGGCACGGGGGAGAAGTTTGCTGAATGTATGAATTGTAAGTGCTTGCCTACATTAAACAGATCACTTCCCAGCATTATGTCTCGGCTAATGTGTCGGGGGAATGCTATACTGGCTATAATTACTGCTATACAGCTATACTCTCTGTTGGAGAGCTTAAACCACTGGGAGCTGGATCCAGTACTCTGATCCCAGGTGGGAAGACACGGCGAAACCTCAACCAAGCTGCGGTGGCTAAAAGTGCTTATGGTGTCTCGGCGATAGCTAGGAAGTGTTTGGCAGAGGTACCCAGTCGGGGTACCAAGCGGTCCGCCACATCAACCTATCTTTTAAAACACTTCATGTTTGAGACTTCTTAGATGAAACTGCAATCTGTTAGTAGCCAAAACTTTATAACAAATTCCTTCTGTGCAGTCACTGTGTTGGCATAAGGCATGGTAATAAACAAGTATTTGTATAGGGTGCTGTTGATACGGTTATCACCCTTCTACACTCATGGGCTCCTTTTAATTACAGCTCTTCTTGGCTATGCATTATTCATTACTTGCAGTTTCAGACTAAGGATGGTATAGATGAGCGGTTCTCAACCCAGTCCTCGGGACCCCCTACCAGTCCAGGATTTGGGAATTACCTGGGTGTGTCTAAGGTGTTTAGAAAAAGGGGGAAAAAAACACCTTATACTCTAAAGGTGTTTTTTTTCTTTTCTTTTTCTAAACACCTTAGACACACCCAGGTAATCCCTAAACCCTGGACTGGTAGGGGGTCCTGAGGACTAACGTTGAGAACCCCTGGTATAGATGATGTGGCAGCACAAGGCTTCAATGGTAAATAATATTTAGTTGTACAGTGCTGAGGATTTTGTAGGCACTGTATAAATGATAATAATAATATTAATAAATGGATAGCAGGATTCAGTGTGCAAACAAAGGGTACACATGACATATAAAAAAAGTTTAATGAAAATTGTACCTGGAAGTCTCCAGGATGGTGTTTGATACTCGAAATACAGGATCACTGGGCTACATGAGCAAATCCAACTAAGAGGAAGAAAGAAAAACAACTGTTTGAAGCTCTGCCTATTGCCAAAAATCAGCTAGTACCTAGTACGTAACACAAACTATTTCCTACATTGCCAGGGATGGCTGGTGATGGTGGGGTGGAAAGTTTCAGTAGGTAAATATTTATGTATACATACATACAGCCACCATTGTACTTTGTCCTATATTTTGCAATTGATATATAATTTATTTAAAAAAACTCAATAATAAAGGTATACATTTGAAACATGTTTTTTTTACACAGTATAGAACTAGTCCTAAGCAGTGAGTCCAGTTTAGGGTAGTGGTTTTCAACCAGTGTGCCTCCACCATCAACAGGTTGTTGATCCAATTAGAAATCTGTTTACCATTATAGAGTCAGGAAGGATTTTCCCCCTTGCTGTGGCAAAACTGGCCATTGCTTCAAATAAGGTTTTTTGGTTTTTTTGCATTCTTGTGGATCAACAACATAAAAAGATGTTTAAAGGTTGATTTCGATGGACTTGACTATTATTGGTTTAGTCTAGATTAACATGTAATTATGTAACTTCAAAGCATTCCATGAACATGTTGACTTCATGAACTATAGTAAGCTTAATGCAATTAAATTGTGGTTTTCACTAAGTACCAGCATTACAATTGTTACGTGACGTGAAGGAATCAATTGATCTGGATATACCTAAAAGGATGGGAGGGGTGTTCTGGAGGAGGAAACATAGTGGATGGGAGACGGCAGATGGAAGGTTGTGAGAGGTTTAGTCCTATTAACAAAAAGGTTACCAGAGATGTGTTTGTACTTGCTCTGTAGCACATGTATACACACCAAAAAACTATTTGATAATCATGTTCTGACATTATACACACAGAAGCTCCCATACACCATACATGCAAATAAACCCACACTGACCTTCATACATTCTTACATATTGAAAATGATCGTGAAAAGTAATAATTTGCAAAGAAAAACATTTTTGATAAAATAACTCTGTAGAGTCTTCTCTCAAAAAGTGAATTTTCACCTCTTTCAGAGAAAATATAAAAGAAACGGTTAGCTATTCCTAGAATTACCAAGAAGGATATCATGTATAGACTGGTACATAATATTATTGGACATTTTTTCCCTTCATTTTTAAAGATTTTTTTGTTTAATTTTTAAAAAAGAGTCACTTTAAGAACCAAAACAGTCACTACTAAGCGCTTTTTTAATGACATGTATTTGAAGCAAATGATACCTTAGCAAGCATATAAGCAAAAGGTTGTAACTAGAAACCACGGGGCCCTTGTGCGAAAATTACTTTGCAGACATATGTAAAAAAAACATGTAATCATGTAAATTTACACAATTTTTTTTTTTCATTTATTCATTTAGACTTTAGAAAAATATTTGGGAAATGAAAAGCTTTGGACAGCATAAAGTGTCCTTTATCATCTTGCAAAATTTAACACAGTCTGAAATGTTAGTATAAAAGCAAAAAACAGAACTTTTTAAAAATAATTACTGTAATTTTCTTTTACTGGCTAATTTCCATGTCAGCACATGGGTATCCTATGGGTTAAGCTCCTCCATTTCAACTGATTAGGAAAGGAATATTCTAAATTAATGTAAGCTATAAAGTGAGTTCCCACCCCTAAAACAGCAGTCACATAACCAAGTAAACCAGAAGAGGCAAAGGACGAAACGTTTGATGCCGGCATGGATATTAGCAAAGGAAAGAAAATTATGGTAAGTATTTAAAAAGTGATCTGTTTTCCTGGCTAATATCACCTGTGAAACTTCAAAACTTCAAAAGGGGGGAAGAGTGAGACAAGTAACAAGAAAATTAACTGCCACAAATAAATGCATTAATGAGACACAGCAGAATTTAGAATGATACAACCAAAGGAGGAGGTAGGTGCAGATGTAACAGCCAGAGGATAGTGCCTGACAAAAGTGTTGGATAGGGACCAAATTGCAGCCTCACAAATGTCATCTATAGAAGTGTCCGCCAAGGATGCCCATCATGCCAAGCCAGCACTTACAGAGTGAGCCTTGATGCCCTCGGGATCAACTTTCTTGTGACCCTACAGGCTTTTTGAATAGCATATGTAATCACTTATCAGATAGTTGAGACTGAAGCCTAGAAACCTTTGTGGTATCCAGATGGAATGTAGAAAAGTCTGTTAGTTTTTCTAACATCTTTTGTTCTATCCAGATATATTTACAGTGCTCTCATAACATCAAGATAGGATGGTTAAAGCAACAAAGGGATACATAGCAGACTTGTGTATGTTTTAATCAAGATTGCATCCATGCGCTTTTCCACTAGATCCCGCAAGAAAGCCACATTGTAAATGGGAAATACTGATTTTGCCACTCTTCTATCAGCGTCCACTTTTGGTGCTATATTAAAATGTATTGTGTCAGTGGCCAGAAAGGGTTCTAGCCGATTGAATTTACCTTGTGTAGACAATCTCTTTTCCGGTTTCTGCAATTTGGTTTTCACTAGTTCTTTAATGGCTGAATTCATTGGTAACATTGCCCTTTTCTCATGTAGGTCCTTAAAATAGATATCTGACTCTTTACACACACCTTTATCCTTTGGCATCTTAACATATCACTAATAAGAGTAAAAAGGGAATATAAT